TTAACTAAACTACCAAATGGTATAATAAGTAAAGAATAAAAAAAAATAAACCTATTTAGGCGGATTTACTACTATTGCCGTCTGTGGTTTGGTTGCTATATAATTAAACATAAAATACAAATAACTTTAAAAAATTAGCTTCAGCTTCAGCAACAGCTGTTCACAAATCTTGCTAATTTTTTTTTTATTCTGTTTTTAATCTGCTTTTTGCATTTTATATTTTTAACTTTGGTCTAATATCACTTTTTTTTTGCCTAAAATATTTTCTTTTTTGCTTTCTCCTCTCATTTTCTTCCCCATTTTCTTTTTCCGTTGTATTTTCGAAATTTGAAAAAAGGCACTAGAAATAAATAGATAAAACATTAAAAAATTATAAAATGGTTATTCTGCCTTCCAAACGAAGACAGAAGATTTTACTCCGCTAAAGTAGAAAACAGGCATCAAAAACAGAAGTGGCAGAAAAATGTATGAATTTTCTAGTCAGAACTTTCACTGATCAGTCTTATCTAAAACGGACTACTTTTTATACCTTTCTTCTTTGAAAAATTATACGACGCATACATTTCAGCTAATTTTTTTTATTTTTTTCTATCACTCTTTTTACCTGTAAATACACACGAATAAAATACCATTGTAGCATATATCGCAATTGAAAAAAAGTCAATTACAACTAAAACAGCATTTTCGACTAAAAAAAGAAATTTTAACGAAATTATATCCAAAAAAACCGTGGACTTTTGCTTTCAGTATATATCCTTCTTCATTCTGAATGTTTGACAGTGATTTAACAGTGATAAATAATTGGATAACAAAAATGCAGACTGCTGAAGAGAACCGCACAACTATTAATAAATATTTTGAATTTCGTTCTTCAGCCCTGGAAACTGACCATTTAAAAGCAGCTCTGAGTCATAGAAAACAGTTTTTCAAAAATTGATACTATCAAAAAAGCAGTTACAGAACGAACAGTTCTAATCGTTAACGGTTGAAAAAATAAACAAAAAGTGTTATTGGATACACAAATTCGATCGGTGTACTTTTTGATCTTTGCATCAAAACACAACTAATCTGTTCTGTCAACGCAGTTCCAGTTCATTGTTCAAAGTTGAACTACTGTCTTATAAACGACAGGTCTCTTTTGGCTCACCGATAACAATTCCATTTTTTGGTTACCCGGCAGTTAGTATAGGATTGCAGCTTAAACACTGATAATCTTATCTTTGACATTTTCTGACAAAGCCATCCATTATCTACGAGTCTTCGCTGTCATCTTTCAAATCATCCCAAAGATTTCGTTTTCTTACGTTCTCTCTACCACATAAGATCTCGCCCTCTAAACTTCAAAGCGATTCTTGCTTGTCAAATTTTTGAGAAAAAAACATCTTAAACAGTAACCTAGGTCAAATTTTTGTCGTAAACATTTTACAGTTACAGTGGCCTCTATTTTCATATAGCAACAGGAGCCGCTTATAAGTTTTTAAATTTAAAAGGTAGCCACAGTAAGTAACTACACTTGAAAGTCCGTAAACAGCGGTTTTGATGGTAACCAAAAGTCACCGATAACAATTCCAGTTTTTGGTTACCCGGCAGTTAGTATAGGATTGCAGCTTAAACACTGATAATCTTATCTTTGACATTTTTTGACAAAGCCATCCATTATCTACGAGTTTTCGCTGTCATCTTTCAAATCATCCCAAAATTTCGTTTTTTTACGTTCTCTTAGCTTTTCAGAAATTTTTTACTTATCTAGAAATCCAGTTATCCTCGTCTCATCACTGTATGTATTACAACCAAATTGATAATTTCTCTCGTCACTGGCCAATTAGGTCACAGCGCCAGAAAAATATTTGATTTCTAGTGAAAGCGACAACAACTGAAGCATATTAGATAACAATTTTTTGATGACACCAAAACTGGTTTTGTTTAATAGCGGTATGCTTACAATAAGACAATTTAATTATAGCTGCCGTTGGCTAATCAAAATGTCAAGAAAAAAAAAAAAAACAAATACTATGTTTAGGTATCAGTAAAAAGAAAGTGCTTTCGCTAGCACTTGTACTAAACAACACTCGTTGCTGCAGTTATTGTGCATCTTTTTCTGTCTCTTTTTTAGATCTATTTAAAATTTCTCAGGAATCAAAAATCTGTCTTTCGTTTTATGAAAACAATCCATACGGTTAATAAATTTTTTAAAAGCACCTAACATACTAAATCTGCATCATATGCAGCACAATTTTCTTTTACTTTCAACACATCAGAATCATTTGCAGAGTATTTTGATACAATAAAGAAATATTATGCGCTGTTAACTGTAAAGAATTTTCATGATTAATTCCTTTAGTCAACAATTTTTTGAGTCGTTTTTTTGTTCACATATCCGCACTGGTTTTGCATCACAAAAAAAATCTTTTTCAGCTGCTTCAAAAAAAAAGTAAAAATGTAAAAAATTTCTGAAGGTTTCATTTTTTTTTCTCCTACTTGTTAATAAGACAAAGGATTGAAATACAAATTTCTTGTAAGACAATTTTCTCAGAAGCTAATAGTTAAAGTTTTTCGGCAAATATATAAATCAATTGTAGCTGTGAAAAAACATGAAAGCTTTTTAGGATTCTTTTGATCGGTTTAATGGCAATGTTCACGACGATTTTCTGCAGATCACACGTCGTAGAGTATACATGTCTCAGTAACTGATGGGAAAGTGCAGTATGGAAATGGGGTTTATAGGAGGTTAGGAAGTAGAAACATTCAACAGCAGATTTTTTCCTTCAATAGTTAAATAAGTTAAGTAACTTCTCATTTATTCTTCAAGTCATCAAGATATCATTCATCGCCATTCAACAACCCCAACTTGCTTGTGTATCATGCAAGCAAAACGCTTTTGTATATCTGTACTGCGGACACAAAGATCACTGAACTGGGCAAAGGACATCAAATAACCAAATCCGTAACGTTTGGCGAGTTGGAATCTTGCCAACAAAAAAGTTTCTCTTCGAGACTAATTGAATGATCAACTGTAAAAAATTGAAAATAAACTATTGAACATTTATGGATCCGTCAGGCGATACTGTTGCTGTTCGTGGGCGTTTTCGTAATTGTCATTTTGTTTTTCCCGAGAAAGCGCTTTTTTCATCTTCTTACATTACTTCATCAAAATATTATGACATTACCACAGTTGCACCAAGTTTGAACCGTTTATGTACATGTTGTTGAAATCATTAAGGTGTAACCGTTTGATAATTTTTGTTTATTGAAATTCCTGTGCTTTAAGATGTAATTGAGTGTTGTTTTGTGCACTTGCCTGGCTTTTTTCAGCAATATCTTCAATGAAACAGGAAGAACAGTGTTTAAACAAAATCGGTGTTGAAAAATTTAAGTTACGATAGATGAGGTCGCTGGTAGTTGTCTCAAAGTTACAGTTGCCTTAGAAAAAACTATGGTTGGATTTTTGTAAATCTGCCCAAGTTTTCCAAAATTGCACTTGAAAATTTTTCATTTGTGAACGAAATTTGTTTCTTTTCATTTCTAGATATTTATTGCAAATAGCGTTGAAAAGATAAACCAACTTAAACAAGAGGAAAACAGTTGACTGATTAGTACGTTCGATTTCTAACAGGAAGAAGAAGTAGATTGGATGATATAGACGAATTAACTGTTTGTTACAGCTGGAAAGAAATTACTTTTTATCAAATGCTTTTTTTTTTTCATTCTTAAAATCGATTCATAATGGCAAAAAAATTTAGTTGATGTACTTAGACTAGTTTACGCAAAAGTCGATTTACTGAGTGTTATGACTCAAAAGCGGCTTTGCTCCTACCGTCAGCTTTTTATACAGTCAGTTTTGTTTCAGACAATGATTTAGCCGTGAAAACAGTAGTAAAACAACAAAAAAAAAACTTTTTGATAGGTCATCAGTGTTAACACAGTTATCAGTGTTATTTTGTAGAATGTTTCAATTAATCAATGATATGATGCAATAATGGTAGTGCAAAGTGTAACCTTCAAAGGGCCTATTTTTTTTTTATGGAAATATTTTTGCAGAAGACATAAGAAAACTGAAAATTTGAAGGCAAAATTTTTTTTTTTTCGCAAGAATTATTGCTGAAAAGATTTAAGAGTTACTTTTAGTTCATTCAGAGTTGTTGAATTTTTTGCTATAAAATTTTTTTTCCGTGAAACAGTACACTGAACTTTTTAAGAGTACAAAATACTTCTTTTGATACAGAAGTATAATACGGTTTAAAAGATTAAGATTTTTTTCAAACACTGTCAGTTTGAAAAAAAATCTTTACTTTTTCAAACAATTTTTTTAAATTAAATGTTAAATTACAGTCAAATAAAATTTAATTAAGTTTTGCACGATAGTCTGCATGGCGTTTCTACAGACAATTAGTTCTGTTTCTGGTTGCTGTATACATTAATATAGCAACATCTACGCCGGCAACAAGTTTGAATTAAGAAGGCTTTGGAAGAGATAACTTGGTTTATTGATAAACCATGACAGTTAGCCATACCTGATGTTTTGCTAAGGTTAGGCTGATATGCAAAGAATTTTTAGTATCATAAATATTGCAAACGAACTGGGATGGGAAACTGAATCTGATCAGCAATAGAAGTAGGGTTGTTCCGGGTGAGTCGTATCTAGCCATTGACCTTATGACAAAAATTCAAGAGGCTAAAAGTGATACATAGTTTTTTCCACACTGTGATTTGCTTCTATAAAGTAGCAGCTTGAATCGTCGGAATCGAGACGCTAAAATCTTAATGTTAGTCTTAATAATTACTTTTCAGACGGAATCAACTTTTTTTTATTTGAATTTAAAGAATTCCTGATTAATTGTTATTTGCACCATCGTCGCTTCAGAAGTTACGCTAATTTAAGGTCAGGCTTGTTGTTTGATGACCTGTAATATTTGGAGGTGTTATGTACTAAGTTTTTCCTCTTTTCTTTTTTTTTTCTTAGGAAATGGACGTCTAAAGTTTAACCAGATTGATAGTATTATCGGGTAAAAACAGTGAATTATGGATGAATACGTCTGAATGATTTATATAGTTTTGTTTTATCTTTTTTCCTCTACACTTTTCTTTTTTTAGTGTCAGTTGTTAAGGAAGACGGGTGAGAAGGAAAGAATGTATAGACTAATATATAACGTAAAAAGAAAAAAGAAACAAATTTGTTTACTTGGTTAAGAGCAAAGTTTTTTTTGCTTTAAAAATAAGCTGCAAAGTAGCTGGTTTGAGGTTTACTGCCTGTTCAGTCGTTAACCAGAGCCAGTTTTTTTGCATAGACGCCGTTTACTAAGGCAGTTATTTGTTCCGTTGATAAAACTTTTAATTGGGACAGTCATTAAAATGACCTTTAAAAGAGTTCCTTTTTGTTTGTTGCTTGTTTTGGTAGTTCTGTCACACAGTTTCATGGCTGATGCTTCGCAACAATCGAAGATTCTTCCTGACAAATTTATTGGATCATTCAAGCTTGATCGAAGCGAAAATTTTGATGAATTTCTCGCCTCAAAAGGTACTGGTTTTTTGTTTCAAATAGCTTTTAGTCCTCTTCAAATTTTGAATTTTTAGCTTTTATTGCAATATTTTTTGGTTCAAGGTTATAGAAGATTTGTAGAACCTGGCTCATGCCACTTTTTTTTCTGTATAGTCTATTTTTTTTAAAAAATTGCTACAAAACATGGTCCTATACTTTTTGTACTGTATCCGATAGAGTAAGAGAGTCGTAGAACTGCCAGTGGGTTTCAGGCGTAAACTGGTTTGTAAGGAAAATGGTTGCCTTAGCATCGGTAACAAAAGTTTTCAAGCAATCTGCGGCCGGAGTCGGTGTATACGACTTGGATAATTTATCTTTGAAAAAGAACACCTACTATACTGGTTGGAAATTGAGTGAACCGTTTCGAGCAGAAGGATTTGATGGAACAATCCATGAGGTTTGTTGTAGTTTGATAGAGCAGTAAGAGGATGTCATAATTTTATCAGATTTGATCAATTTAGATTTAGATAACTTTTGACTATGATTCAAGCAAGGACCTACTGTACGAGAAACATGTTCGTGTCGATAATCCTGAGGATAAAGGTGAAACCTACAGGTATGCAGTTGCCGATGGAGAACTTGTCATGGTAAGTTATGTTTTCTTCACCTGTTACTGAGGAATTTTTTTCGTACCACTTATTGTTTTGATTATCTGTTAAGAAAATCAATATACAATCTATATCCTATCCTTCAATAAACCCTTCGTGTTTCTTCTAAACAATGTTTCTTTTCAGACAATGCAGAACGATAAGGTAACTTGTAAACGGTACTTTAAGAAACAGTAAAACTGAATGCTTTGATTGAGCATTCACTGACAGCAGCCTGGGCGATAGTTTCAAAACTACTAGGACAGTTTTTGTACGTGTAGATAGTTCACCTGTAATTTTTTTCGTCGAATTATTGGTACTTTTCATGTGTTCCGAAAGTGTTTTTAATAAAATATTTCCCGATTTGTTTGTCTGATGTGGTTTTTGCCAGCTTTTTCTTCTGGATCTTGTTGGCTCTAAATTAAAACTTTAAATCACAAACCTGATACAGCGATGTGGAGTTTTGCGAAATTAATGTCGAAAAAATTTTTGAGCCAGTTCTGAAATCTCCTTACCATTGTTCTACCTGTATTAGTTTTGTTCATATTAGGTTTTATTGGCCAAGCTAACGCGATTACAAGTGCCTATATTAAAAAGGAATTCGAGCAAGTGGTCATTTAGGTTTTAACACAGTGGGGTCCCACATAAATTTTTGGTAAACATAGAAAATAAATTCCTTTCACACGCTTTATCCAATTCCAATACGGTTTTGTAGACAGCTTTTGTTACACGGGATCGAAAAGGCGAATAACGATAACTGGAACTGGTAAACGTTTAAAATGTTACTGAAACTTGGTTTTCGGGTTACGAGGTGGTTGGACTTTGGGAAATTATTCAATGTTAACTTGCCAGACTTGTCTTAAGTGAGCGAAATGGATATTTCTTTTTCATCTAACAGTTAATTATCATAGTTAAGCAAGATGATGTTTAACGTTCTTACTGCTTTAAAAACAGACTTTATGCGTTGGAGAGCTTGAAGCTGTTCTTACCGTGAACAGTATGTTCTTTTCATGCACAGTGTAGCTCCTAAACCCATCAAAACTCAAAGAACAGATGATATTTGGTTAGTAACAAGAATGGGAAATCTGGGGCCCAGAAAATTAGAATAGCGGATAAGGAAGAATTGAACAACGACGCTTTTTGAAAAAAAAAAAAAAAAAAACTAACTTATTTGCAATTTCCTTTGACTAAAAGCTCCAGTCCATCTTGAGTTGAGCAACCGACCTATTCTCTACCAACAGAAAATTCAATTCTTTTGAATTGAAGGTTTTTGCTGAATGCGGTAATGATCCGTTAATAAAACACGCTTTACCATCTATTGATAATTTTCGGCAAAGTTGTAAAATTTGCTTTCCGAAAGAGTTTTGAAGACCGGGTAAAGACTTGCATTGCTGGTTTCATAAACTTTTGGTGACTTTAAAGTACAGAAAAGATTTGCATAACCGAAAAAAATGGGGGAATATAAATATTTTTCTTTCTAGCTTTTCAAAATGTATCGATTTTTAGGGATGAATTTGCCCCTCTCTCAACTCAGTTCGATTTTCTAATGATAGACTCGCTTCATAGTCTTTGTTGTCTGTCAACGAGACTATTTTGCTGTGCATTTCGCGGCAAAGCAATTTTTTAATGCATCAGACTCCCTTTCTACTGCTTGCTTAGAAAAAGCTTAATAGAAGAAGTGCATAAAAAACAACAAAATCTTCATCAAACCCTTTCTCAAATGATAACAGTTTGCAAAATATAACCTTTAAAAACCAGTCTAAACCAAATATGGATCGAGAAATATAATTAAGTGAAATTATTTCTGGAAATGGCCAAAAAAAAGTGACTGGCCTAAAGGAAACGTCATAGTGCGAGTATTATGGGCCTTATTAAATACAAAAATTTTGACGCTTTTTAATCTTGAGAGAATTATAGGAAGCAGAACTGTTAAAACGAAATAAATGATGCTTGCATGGTGGAAGGCTTTACCGTATAATATTAGGATCTAATGGTTATGAAGTAAATCATTTATGCTTTCTTTTGTTGTTTTTTTTTTACATCCTGTATAAGGAAAGTCTGGTCGTAATTTAGAAAAATTTAAAGCCTCAAGATTTTAAAAAAGCGCACAATGCCAACTATAAAGGCATATGCAGTTGAAAATCGTCATTTGTCAACCACAACGATATTTTGCTAAAACATTTATCCATAACTACAGGGCATTTCTGGACGACGACCACTTCCTAATTTAACGCGGAAGCGGGATTTTCAAAGAACCGAACTCACTGCTACGGCGCTCTTATTGTCCGACCTTTCAAATGCAAAGGTTTCTGGCAAATCCACTTCTGATCTGTACTTGTTTTTAATTTTGCAACATTCAACAACTTACGGTTTTTGCCGTTTAAAAAACGGCAAAAAAGTCTACTTCCTTTACAGAAGTAATGAGCAAATTGTGTGACCAAGTTTCGAACGCAGATAACTAGATGGTCCTGACTCTTAGAGAAATTTTTTGAAAAACGCGACTGCCTGGAATGACTAGCACCCCTTTCCAAAATGCATGCGGCTAGGCGACTACTGTGTTTTGTAAAAAAACAATGTTTAGACTTCAAAGTTGAAACTTACGCTTAAGTGCAGTCTTCCTCGCAAAAGAAGAAAAAGAAAAATCATGATCTGCTGCCTACGAACTATAAAAATTTAATTAAGAAGCTGCATTATTTCAGAAGATTTGAAAACATTTGAATATGGCAAAATGCCATTTCCACTCAGGACATGGAAATGACATTTAAATGTTAGGTGGAAATTTTGACCTGCGGGTGGGTTTCCGGGTTCTGTTTGTCATATAACTGCAGTGTCATAAGTCGCAAATCATGCGTTCGGGAAAAACTGCGTATATGCTAGCAATTGGTCACCGTCTGGGTTGTGTTTCTGAACCTTTTTCGTGTGTCCTTTGTGCCCTTATTTTTTCTTAGTCGGCTTTTTTTTCTTGTTCTTTTTTTTTCTTCTCGTTTGCAATTAAATGTCACAGTTTTTTGAGATGTGTTATGAGACACTTTATGAAGCTTTGATATTTTGGAGGTTTTTTCAATGGTTCAAGGTGAAGAAAACCTTAACTCAACGTTACCTGCCGATAATGTAGAATGTCTGGAGAAATTTCGACAAGCGTTAACTTCATTTTCAATTCCTGACCAGGTTAGATTCAGCGGTGAAACTGTGACGGCCTTTTATTTTGGTGCCTTGTCTTTTCCAAAGGATTTCTTTTTTTTGCAGAACCCGTTTTCAGTCAATAATCGTAAACTTTCGATCTAGTATTAAAAACTAATTCTTTATCAAACGCTTTCTGTTTTTTTTTTTTTTTTTTTTTTTTTTTTTTTTT